CTACACACGCATATATATATCGGTGGATCGAGGAGAAAGAAACAGGTCAACACAGGGGCGCATTAAGCCATAGATAGGGCAGCTATACCACACGACTGTGAAACAGGATGTGACCGACATGTCCAAATAAAACCCGAAGTTCAACAAAGGCAGATAGGCAAAGACAGGCATCGATTGGAAGGCCAGAACACCCCAGACGCAATAAGCAACACATGGAAGCGACGGATACGAATACACACTACGAGCACCCGCGCATCCCTAACAACTCAGGCTAGTATTAATAGGCCCGGGTTAAACGCAACTACGAACGGAAGTTTGAAATGAGTCTATGTATATAGACTGTCATATTCTCCGACTATAACTCGAAACAAGTCACACAACGCTTTGACAGCAACCCACTCAGCAGATGATAGGACGCCCTTAACCTCATAAGTGCTAAACTAGACCATAGATGCATATAACATGTCAACCATGGGGTGTACTTAGCATACTCATAAGTACACTAAACAAGACCATATATGTACATAACATATCAACCATCTGATGTACAGAACATACTCGTCCGTGACTTCGCTATCGCCATGTCCCAGGAGATCCATGGCGACAATGGTTACCCGCTTGTAGTAGTAGGATATCTGTGAAACAAACAACGAGGCAAAAAAAAAAACAGCTCTAAGAAAGCATTTGGACGCGTCGGAAGAGAAAGAAGCAGGCGCGAGAGTACCGCACTTCCGAATTACTATGTGTGACTAAGTGCAACTAAGTGTACAACTGTAGTAACTATGTGTGACTATGTGTAACTAAGTGTATGACTGCGGTACATACCTCTAATTAAGTAGGTACATATTACTAGGTAGTTAGGTACATAATACTAGGTAGGTAGGTGCATACTACTAGGCAGGTAGATACATACCAATAACTAAGTAAGTACATATTACTAGCTAAATAGGTACATAACTCGAGTTAAGTAGGTACATATTACTAGGTAGGTAGGTACACACAACTAGGCAGGTAGATACATACCACTAACTAAGCAAGTACATATTACTAGCTATATAGGTACATAACTCGAGTTAAGTAGGTACTTATTACTAGGCAGGTAGGTACATGCTCCTAGTCAAGTAGATACATACCACTAACTAAGTAAGTACATACTACTAGCTAAATAGGTACATACCTCTAGCTAAGTAGGTACATATTACTAGGTAGGTAGGTATATACTACTAGCTAAGTAGACACATACCACTACCTAAGTAGGCACACACTACTAGCCAGGTAGATATATACTACTTTGTACATATGCTATATGCTATGATAGAATGGCTAAGATACAGGTTGGACTATATAAATCACCTGTTCAAGCCATTGCTCCGCCCGACCCCCTGCGCCGTGGAAGAAGAAGAGTGTGGGCAGTAGCTCGCTTTTGGATTTGATGTGGATAACTCGTATCTTGTGACCACGGATGTCCAGCATAACAGTGTTCTTCTGAAGCACTAGAAGACGCTCTGTGGACGGGCAACAATAGGTAGAGAGGATTACTAATAGGGTAGGTAAGAACATATTAAATGTGTTCTTATCAACGAATATGAGGATACGAAACAAATTAAGAATTTATATACATATACATTATATATACATATACATTATATATACATATACATTATAGATACACACACACACACACACACACACATATATATATATATATTA